AATAATTTTGTTTAGTTGTATAAATTATTTATTTAATTATATTTGACTTGTATATCAGACGTGCACAGAAATTAGCTTTTAAGAAAAAACTCACTCTGAGAAATATTTACTGGAGTAAAAAGTGTGACAACTAGCCCCAGTCACCCCAATATACAAGTTTTGTTGTTTACAAACTTGTATTTGGCTTTGAAGTTTAAACAAATAACATCATTTCTTTAGATGTGTCCAATGAGACACAAATAGGCCTAACCGATGAGCTGCTGGGAGACTTAACTTATGAAGCATACGAGGAAATACTCATTAAAAAAACAAGAACAACAAAACCTGCAATGTTTAATGGCCTGACAGTCATTCAACTGAATCAACAGGTTACACAGCAACTCGATAGTTTATTTTTTTCTTTCTTTCTTTTTCCTTTTCTTTCTTTTTCTCCCCGCCCCTTATTCATGTTGAGGATAAATCAGACTAAACTGTAAAGAATTGTTGTGTTATTAAAATACACCAAACACAATTTTAATGTAGTGCTCCTGTTCAGACCTGCGTGCAGTTTCAGAGACTACACCCATTGAGGATGCTTTTCATTTTTTCATAGTGATGTTTTTCCATTTAATCAGAACTGGTTTGTCTGGATTAACTTTTGTTCTACAGAACTCTTTATCAGTCACAAGGAAGAAAATAAAACAGGTTTAAATATTAACCTGTACTGTATTGTCTTTGTGCACCAGATCACTTTCAGATTTCACTTTGACGATGCAGAGAGATGATCATAACTTCACCTGAACATGGAGTTACTTATGTTAATTTTTGTAGCTGTAATTCCAGTTATATCTGATGGTAAGTACATTGTTTTTCTCTCTTTGAGCTGATTCTGAAAACAAGTCACGTCAATAATAACAACTAGTTTAAATCTCTGCAAACTTACAATATCTGTCAAAGTTTTAGACACATTTGACTGATTTTATGTTGCTCGTGATCTTAAAAACCTTCTGCCTCCGTGCTTGAAATGAGCTTGAGCTTGTTTATATGCTCTGAAAAACACTTAAAAAAAGACAGTCGCTGGTTTATTTGGCAGCTCAGTGCTGGTAAATACGCTTTCTGTCTCTGTTCAATTTCAATAAATCACAGTCTTATGCTAATATTCATGTTTGCAAAGAAGCAGCTTTGTGTAATCTCTGCTCTGTCAGACTTTTAAGTTTCAAACTATCAAACGAGTAGCGCGACCACGGTGGAGACTAGTGTATCCTGTATACACTGCATGATCAAGTTTGCATTTATGATAGACCTTTGACCGCAGTTTTATCTAAAGTCTGCTTTATTTATAGCTTATGGTAGCCAACATATTCATAATTCATAAACAGTTTTTTTTAAATGTTAGTATGTTAAACAGACAATAATCACACACTTTTGATTTTGTGAAACTGTACTGTTGCTGTAGTACACAACTTTCACATGCAGATAATTGACAGATAAACCGCACACCCTTATTTCAGTGTTGTTGTTTTTTTTATTTTATATTTCAGCTAACAGTTTGCTTTGTAAATTCAGTTTGACAACATTAAGATAAATTAAGTTAAAGACTGTCTGCGGTGATCCAGGACGCTGTTCCAAATCATGCTGCACCAAAGAGCGCCACTCACATAGTTTACCATAAAATCACATTATATTTGTCACAAATTATTGTTAATGTACATAATAACTTCATCCTAGGCTGGAAGACTGTGTATTGTGCATCTTTCAGCACAACGTTTGTCTTTTTATCCGTATGCTTTAGGCTATATATAGAGCTAATAATAGCCATAGATCGCGCTTTCTCTTTCCGTTTGCTCTGTTTTTTCAAACACCGTATTTCAAACTCATCGACGCAACTTTGTTAATTCCTATTATACAAGAATATACAACAGTTCTTTCTTCTTTTCTCAAATAGTTTTGGCAAAATCTCATCGTTTATGTAACTTCAATGCTGTATATCACAGCGCTGCTTTTGTAATTTTGGCTGAATTGCCTCGCAACTTATGATGGCTGTTGTTGTTGTTTATTAAATATTATTATTCAATAATATTTTATATAAATATTAGTAGTGTAGTGTTTAGTATTGAGAAACGCCTTCTTTTTTTGCGTGAACATTTGGGCGGTGTTATGCAAATCTTCCCACATAGTGATGTAGATATGTGGGGGCGTGTTAGAACGAGCCGTTTTAGGTAGGTGTGGCTGACTCTTAACTTTTATAAAGAATATCTCTTTGGATTTGAGACTTTAGTCTTTGCAACTTTACAGATCTTCTTTATGCACCAAGAGCTTGTAACACTCCAAAGAGAAAGGAAAAAATTAAATAGCATCATATGACCCCTTTAAGAATACTTAAAGGGATACAAGGGGTGTGTGTGAGCCCAGCCCCCCTAAACTCCGCCTATGCTGGCAACCCTGAGTGCAGTGCTGTACCAGGTGCACTACCGAGCAAGTTTACTTTGTCAGAAAAGCCATACATATGGAGCTGCCGAGCTGGTTATGTGACACAAACCTCAAAATGCATTAGTTTACTAATCCTGCACTATGGTGAAGAGTTTTAAGATAATAGCATAGTATTGAACAAGGCACTGCACTAAAACAAATCTTCATTAATCAATATTATGCATGGAAATTATAATGAAAGTCAGAATAAAAGTTGCTGGTGTTTTACTGCCACTAATATTCAATTCAGCTGGAAACTGTAGCACAATTTACATGTAGGTACGTTTTGGGAATTTTACAGAAAAGAAGGTAGAGCCATGTTTTTATGTCACAATGTTTTAATGATGCAAGTTAATGGCAATTTACACTTTATCACCTAGAAATGGACATACTTTCTCTTTTTCTTGTTTAGTTGGCAAAATCCAGCATTGCATAATTGCATTAATAAATAATCTTTATGTCTTTAATAAATGTTATCAGGAGTGTTGTAAAATTAATATGCACTTCATACTTACTATGATTCACGCTACATGCCCGTCTACTAAAACCTGAACGGACAACATTAAAGAAAAAAAACAGAGAAAGAGAGAGAGCTGGGAAGCAGTTATTTAATCTACAGATCATAAAAGCAGTTTATTCTATTGCATCAAAATAATAATAATAAATTAAATTCACAAATATTTGTGCACTGGAGGTAAAGGTTTACCTGTATGTATCTTGTATGTTGTTTGGCAAGCTCTGTCTTCTTTCATCAAGAACAGCCTTGGGTCTTCAGGAATCTTCAGTTGATGGCCTCCATTTTCCTCCACCATCTTCTCGATGCTCTCCAAAAGTTTCTGCCCTTGTGATTGCTCTCCATTCCTCTGTAGTTGATAATGTGGATGTCTGCTGGTCTGCAGTAGAGCCAATTCACCTTTACCAATTCAGTGTCAGAGTCTTTAACGCTCACATACTCCTTCTCCTCGTGCATGAAGACAACAATCACATACTCAGATGAACCTTCACCAAATATGAGGTTAATGAGCTTGAGAGCATCTCTGTCCTGCTCTGTAAATGTGCCAGACTTGAAAACTAGCAGCAGGGCATGAGGTTCAGGACAAGACTGATGGAAGCGTCTCCTCACGTCTTGTCCTCACAGGTCAGCACCATCCCATCATGCCTCTCAAACAAATGCAATGAAGATGGTGACTCTGAGAACACCTTTCATCCAAAGATTGTGTTTCCACAGGAGGCTTTAACATCTGCTGTGACCCCAGCAGAACTCTTCTCATTTCTTCTATAATCACAGACACTGAAATCACACAAACTGGTTTATCACTATACTCACTGTTCTGTTAATTCATTCTCTTAATTCAACATTTGGAGTAGATGCATGTTTTTTATTTTTATCTGTACTAATTAACGTGAATTAATACAGAGTTAATACACAAGAATTGTAATGAAGCTAAAGCAGTAACATGACTATTGCTGTTAGATTTATACTACAGTTTTTCTCAATTGCTTTGGCACATTTTTCGAAACAGGAGTGACTCGCGACGTTACAAGTGTGATCAGTTTGGATTTTTTTGTATAAAGAGTTTTGAAAATATACACCTAAAAAAAAAACTGTAACATTTTTCTGAACTAAACTCACTGGTCTTCAAAACTGTATGGTTTTCTGGACATTTTAATGATGGACTACGGGATGAAGTACTGTGGGAAGTGAAGTTTAATACACTGTTGTGCTCACAGGCCATTTGGACTCACAATGCAAACGACAATCATTCAAACATCATACATGAATCTTAATTAATAAATAATTTTGTTTAGTTGTATAAATTATTTATTTAATTATATTTGACTTGTATATCAGACGTGCACAGAAATTAGCTTTTAAGAAAAAACTCACTCTGAGAAATATTTACTGGAGTAAAAAGTGTGACAACTAGCCCCAGTCACCCCAATATACAAGTTTTGTTGTTTACAAACTTGTATTTGGCTTTGAAGTTTAAACAAATAACATCATTTCTTTAGATGTGTCCAATGAGACACAAATAGGCCTAACCGATGAGCTGCTGGGAGACTTAACTTATGAAGCATACGAGGAAATACTCATTAAAAAAACAAGAACAACAAAACCTGCAATGTTTAATGGCCTGACAGTCATTCAACTGAATCAACAGGTTACACAGCAACTCGATAGTTTATTTTTTTCTTTCTTTCTTTTTCCTTTTCTTTCTTTTTCTCCCCGCCCCTTATTCATGTTGAGGATAAATCAGACTAAACTGTAAAGAATTGTTGTGTTATTAAAATACACCAAACACAATTTTAATGTAGTGCTCCTGTTCAGACCTGCGTGCAGTTTCAGAGACTACACCCATTGAGGATGCTTTTCATTTTTTCATAGTGATGTTTTTCCATTTAATCAGAACTGGTTTGTCTGGATTAACTTTTGTTCTACAGAACTCTTTATCAGTCACAAGGAAGAAAATAAAACAGGTTTAAATATTAACCTGTACTGTATTGTCTTTGTGCACCAGATCACTTTCAGATTTCACTTTGACGATGCAGAGAGATGATCATAACTTCACCTGAACATGGAGTTACTTATGTTAATTTTTGTAGCTGTAATTCCAGTTATATCTGATGGTAAGTACATTGTTTTTCTCTCTTTGAGCTGATTCTGAAAACAAGTCACGTCAATAATAACAACTAGTTTAAATCTCTGCAAACTTACAATATCTGTCAAAGTTTTAGACACATTTGACTGATTTTATGTTGCTCGTGATCTTAAAAACCTTCTGCCTCCGTGCTTGAAATGAGCTTGAGCTTGTTTATATGCTCTGAAAAACACTTAAAAAAAGACAGTCGCTGGTTTATTTGGCAGCTCAGTGCTGGTAAATACGCTTTCTGTCTCTGTTCAATTTCAATAAATCACAGTCTTATGCTAATATTCATGTTTGCAAAGAAGCAGCTTTGTGTAATCTCTGCTCTGTCAGACTTTTAAGTTTCAAACTATCAAACGAGTAGCGCGACCACGGTGGAGACTAGTGTATCCTGTATACACTGCATGATCAAGTTTGCATTTATGATAGACCTTTGACCGCAGTTTTATCTAAAGTCTGCTTTATTTATAGCTTATGGTAGCCAACATATTCATAATTCATAAACAGTTTTTTTTAAATGTTAGTATGTTAAACAGACAATAATCACACACTTTTGATTTTGTGAAACTGTACTGTTGCTGTAGTACACAACTTTCACATGCAGATAATTGACAGATAAACCGCACACCCTTATTTCAGTGTTGTTGTTTTTTTTATTTTATATTTCAGCTAACAGTTTGCTTTGTAAATTCAGTTTGACAACATTAAGATAAATTAAGTTAAAGACTGTCTGCGGTGATCCAGGACGCTGTTCCAAATCATGCTGCACCAAAGAGCGCCACTCACATAGTTTACCATAAAATCACATTATATTTGTCACAAATTATTGTTAATGTACATAATAACTTCATCCTAGGCTGGAAGACTGTGTATTGTGCATCTTTCAGCACAACGTTTGTCTTTTTATCCGTATGCTTTAGGCTATATATAGAGCTAATAATAGCCATAGATCGCGCTTTCTCTTTCCGTTTGCTCTGTTTTTTCAAACACCGTATTTCAAACTCATCGACGCAACTTTGTTAATTCCTATTATACAAGAATATACAACAGTTCTTTCTTCTTTTCTCAAATAGTTTTGGCAAAATCTCATCGTTTATGTAACTTCAATGCTGTATATCACAGCGCTGCTTTTGTAATTTTGGCTGAATTGCCTCGCAACTTATGATGGCTGTTGTTGTTGTTTATTAAATATTATTATTCAATAATATTTTATATAAATATTAGTAGTGTAGTGTTTAGTATTGAGAAACAGTGTTTGTGTTCATGATGGTGATTAGTTATGTTGTTCCGCAATTAGATGGCGACAAGAGACTGTTTTTGGTTTTTATGAGTAACGTAAACACTTTTACATTGAAAAAAATAAGCTCTGTTGTAAACGGAAGTTGTGTTTAGTTTCAACAACAGCTTGACGCAGCAAACAAATGCGGTGAGCAGCGCTGTCATCAGAAATCACCCTTAACAGATGAAAGGATATTAACGTTAAATCAAAGATATCGCTTTCCTTGGCAGACATTCAAACTAATGTTTTATTGTGAATATGAGTTTAATCTGAAGAATGAATGCTGTATCAGATGCAGGTAATCACAGTTGCTCAGACAATCTCTCTCTCAATACTCTACTAAACATAATACACTGCTTTTACTAGTAATACAATAAGCTTTCAATGAAGCAACTCAACGTTCCTTCGTTACTAGTTCTAAAGTGACGTAGTAGTTCTGCACAAAAAGTAGTTCTGCACAAAAGAGGGGTTTTAAAGACACTCCTTGTCGATTCTTATGAATTTACACACTCAAACTGTTTGTTGTTTTAGTTTTTTTTACTCACCCCACCCACGGTGGCATTTTACCCCACTTACAAATGTACTACTTTAATTTTTGTTAAAAATCTAATAACATGAAAACTCTTGACATTTTTCATACTTGGTTTATAATTTATGTCATTGCCACGCAAACTATGATAATTATTCTGAACAGATTTACCTTTTTTTTCACACAAAAAAAAAAATACACAGTCCTCGAGAGGGGTGTTTTCTCCCACTCTACCCTATATTTAATTGTTTGATCAAAATGATTGCAAGGGACAGTTTGGTAGTCGCTGGTTATTGGTAGGGACATGTCCCTAGAGCCCCACCCCAATTCTACACCCTTGCTTCAAGCAGATGTTAGCAGCACCCTACATGTAGACTAAAAAAAAAAGTATAATGTGAGAGTGAGACTGCAGACAGACTTACACTGTACCAGCACTGGGTGTGTGAGGAGGTTCATTTCTATTGTTAGTAAGGATGAACCAGATATATATATATATATATATATATATACTGTATATGTGTGTGTGTGTGTTTTATTTTCTTGGGAGATGATGATGGGATTTCTATGCACACCTCATTTTCTGATGAATTTCTTATACAGTAGTCCACAGTCTACAGTAATATACAGTAGTCCCCCGGTTTCACAGACAAGGTTTAAGCCTAGTCTGAGACTAAAATGTAAGTCTGAGCTGTTTCAACTGAAATAAACTTGATTGATCTTAACATATATCAGTGCCTTTGTTTTGTCTCAAGATGTTTTTTTCTAAGGCATGTTTATAAAAACTATTTAAATGCCCTAATTGAACTATAGCCTAATCCTGGCTTAATCTAAGCCCTGACTGTGAAACCAGGCCAGTATCTATTATCTGTCGTCTTTTGATTTGGTCATTTTACATTAACTTTTACGTTAATCTCACATTAGTCTATTTTAGATGTTACCGTTTGCTCATATTTCCTGGTTGCTTGATTTAACCGGCCTTACAACATTTTTTTTCCTTCAAGAAAGTGAAAGCAGCTCTATTAAACTCTCATCATTACAATTTTGTGAACAAAGTCTAAAAGTAGAAACTGAATTTAATTTATAATATAGATAGTAAAGGGGGAAAACCCTACAACTAAAACTTTACTACAACAAAAGGTTATTTAATCTCTCATCTTTATTTCATTTCTCTGTCTCAGGGTTGACTGTGCACGGTCCCCCTGGTCCTCTGGTTGCTCCTCTGGGATCTTCAGTGGTTTTGCCCTGTTATGTTGATGAACTTTTATCAGTGGAGGGTCTGGAGGTGGAGTGGAGAAGACCAGACTCTGAGACTTTAGTTCATCTGTATCAGGATGGTGAGAGTCAAACAGAAGCCCAGCAGCAGGATTATCAGGATAGAGCTCATTTCTTTACTGAGGAGATTCAACATGGAAACTTCTCCCTCCGGCTGGACGATCTGAGAGCTGAAGATGAGGGACGATACACATGTACAGTTTACAGTCAGCAAGAGTCTGGTGAGACTGTGATTGAAATAAAAGATGTTGGTGAGTAAAAACCCAATTAGTTGTAGTAGAAAGTTAATCTAGTATTTCATGAGAATATTTGTTGCTCATAATATTAGTTTTATTTGTATTCTTTCAGTACGTTTGCTAGTATCAGGCTCAGATGAGTCCATATCTGCGTCTGTGGGTGAAGACGTCACTCTGAACTGCTCTGTGGACTCTCACATCACACCTGAACACATTGAAGTTGCATGGAAGAAAACAGATGAAAATATTCAGGTTCTGCTCTACCAAGATAAGGAAATTTTACCAGATTCAGCACATGTGCGATACAGAGACAGAGTTGAGTTCTTCACTGCTGAAATCCCCAAAGGAAACTTCTCTCTCAGACTGAAGAGTGTCAGAACTGAGGATAAAGGGGTTTACATGTGTCACGTGTTTGCTGGAGGACTTTCAGCCAATACAACTGTAGAACTGGAGCGACTGGGTGAGGCCTAATGGATAAATACATGCATACATAATAATTGGGACCTAAAGTAACATAAATTACTTTTTGTTGTTTAGTCACGTTTAGTTTACAGTACTTTGAAACTGATTAACTGTCAGATATTTCTATAACTAATTTATTTCTGAATGATTATTCCTGGATGTGATAGTAAATGGTAAATCACCTTAAATGCAGGATTGTTGAGCTACAGAGGTGTGTGTGTGTGTGGTATATATGGTTTATGATAAATGTATATGAAGACATGGGTTCTACAATGTAAACACGGTTTATGAGGACACTTCCTGTGTGAGGGGTAGGTTTTGGGGTAGGGTTAGGATAAAGCCGGGCCCACACTACAGGAGTTTTTAAATCCTAACCTATTAGATCTTCCCCATTAGATCTTCTCTTTGTCTCTATGGTTGTGGTATGTTTTTGACACATTATAATGGGGGAGTCGTGTTGTTGGCAACTTTCCACAAGCCATTCCTCCATCTTCACTGTCCAACGGCAGCTTGCTTTGCAGTTGCACATCGGCTGTTGTGAAAGTACTGACGTAATCATAGCCATAATCATAAGATTCGATCTGTGAACACCTCACATTACCAGATAATCTCTGCCGAACACCGGAACTGATCAAGGTCCTGGATACGATTTTTCTCAGGTTGTTAGGAGGGATAAATCGGCCTAAAACTCATGTAGTCTGAGCCCAGCTTAAGGGGATAAAAAATTCAGTTTATATAGGGTGACCATACATCTTCTTTTTCCAAGACACATCTTAGCCAGGATTTCTATATTGCCTAAAATATCCAATCGTTGTATGACATCAAAGTACCTAAAAGTAAGAGAGCTATAGAGAGCAGACGACTCCTTTGATGTCAAACACTGATCAGTCTGCGCAGTGCATATGTATGTGTATTTTCATCACTTTGACCATTCTCTGTAGATCCCATCTGCCACGATTGGTTGATTATGTTGATTATGCAATGCCTGCATGTTATTGGTCAAACCTTTTTTTTAGGCAATATAGAAATCCTGGCCAGGACGTGTCCGGGAAAAAGAGGATGTATGGTCACCCTAGTTTATACAGTATAAACACTATTACGCCTATGTAATGTCCCCATAAAACATGGAAACATGGTGTGTGTGTGTGTGTGTGTGTGTGAGTGTGTGTGAGAGAGAGAGTGTGTGTGTGTGTGTGTGTGTGTGTGATAGAAACTGTACATATTTGAACAAATAAAGAATATTTTCTTTTTTAGGGCAGTATAAAAGAAAACCCCATAACATTTGTATTCAGTGTAATGTCTGTGTTTTTCAGGTTTCTCTGTTTTACACATAATGGTGTTGATTCTCTGTGTTTCTGCGTCTGGATCTGCACTTCTGCTCTGCTGCCTGATCTACTGCAGATATCAAAACGGTACACATATTCTTATTTACTGTAGTTTATTTGGGACTTGAATATTGAGAGGAAATAGAGAAGAGTGCAAGCAATATGTGTTAACAATGCTAGAATAGCCTTCAGTGGTTCAGTGAGGCTTTTATCCAAAAGAGCCAGATTTTCACATGATCAAAATGATACAACAATAACAGACCAGCACACAATAAAGTTCATTTTAAGACTATATTTAAAGACTGAAAACTTGTTTAAAGATTTGAAACAACAATCACAGAGAAAGGTATCAAACGAAATGAGTGGAAAATGGTGAAATGATAAAATCTAATGTCAGAAATGAAGGACATTGAGTTCTTAGTCTGAAAGATGCTGGTGAGTACTGATTCTTCTATATAATCATAAAATCAAAACAGTATATAACATTGTGCCTTAAAACTCTTTTAAAATGATCTTTCAAAACACTGATGGCACAAACATTGGCAAACCCAGAAATTAGTTCATCCCTTAATCTAACTCATAAAGTGCCAAATGAGACGTTTCTTGCAGACGAGGTGCATGTAAAGTGTGCCGTTAGGGACAGGCAGGACCACTTTATGCCTCTCCTGGTCATGGTGCTAACACACCACTCTTGCATGACTTAATAAATATTAATACAGTTAAGCAACATTATTGCACAATAATTAATCTTCATGAGCTAAACCCTAGTGAATTAATGCAGTGTTTTACGGCCATCATTTAGAGCAGGTAAATCACAGCAGACAAATGTGCCAAAGTCCGCTCAGTCAGAAACAGAATTAAATACTTGATTCCTTTGGATTGCTGATAATAAGAAAGATAAGCAGAACATGCTCTTTAGGCCACAGTAGGCAAAAAACAAAAATAGCAAATAGGATATATTGGATATATAAATTTCAACAGTAATAATTTACACATTACCGTTTGTGGGATACTGCAAGAGACTTCAATTATTATACATATTATACATCCTTATATATATATCCTTACTCTTCTTCTTCCCAGGCTATCGACCGTGTTTGTTTTCTTGTTGTAACACAGTGCTCTGCCTATATTCTTGCCAAGCTTCATGAGATGTACCTTTACACTGGTTGATCATTGGTGTGATCTAACACTTTACATTACCCCATAATTAGTGAAATTCAAGATTCACACAAATCCAAATTTACAAAAAAAATAAAAAATGGCTTGTTGATATGCATAGAAAATATGCTTGCCAGAATATGACAACTAGTTCAATGATTTTGCATTTAATGACTTTTATACAATAAAGTAATACCTAATGTTTTGGGCGGTAAGACTAATCAACAGAGAACCAGTATAATATATGTAGATTCTTGATAACACTTGATAGCACTTGATAACATATGAAACAGCAGACAATTGTGCATAATCAATTACATGAATGTACCACAGCACTGGCAATTTGTTCAAAAGAATGAGAAAATGCTTTTATGATGTGCACAAGTGACTAGATGATAAGGAGGTTGAACAACTTTCAACTGTGATTTGAGAAATGCACCAAAGCAGCTGAGAAAAACTGCCCGATCAAGTAAAATCTTTGAAATCCAGCTGAGGATTTTTTTCTTTTACATCACCGCCATACAGTTCAGTCTGTTTTCATTCACTCAGGACCCTTTAGAAAATTAGTCCAATACAAAAATAATAATCAGTTTTGTGATATTTGAGACGATTATATTTTAAAATGGTTTTCAGTGACAAACCAAAGTCAAAACTTTTATTGTCATGCACTTAGAGTCCAATGGAAAACAAAACAAAACAAATATATAATCAACCGGCAACTTACTTTCATGTAATAGAAGGTGAAAGACAAGTGACCATACATAAATTTAATTAAAATAGAATTACAATATATAAGCAGCAAAGTTGTGTGCCATTGAGAATTGAATTTATAATGCCTTTTGAATTCCAATTCAATACCTGAATTTGAATCAGATTGAAATGATGGATGGAGGGATTTCCCAGAATGCATCACCTGTGTTGAATTTCTTTGAATTTTAGGTCAGTAAATTCCTCCATTTTAAGTCCAAGTTCAGTCCATCTTTTTGTGTTGTGGTAAATTCAATTTAAATGCATTCCCACTGAAGTGCCTGAGCTGTAAATGACTGACAGTAATTCAGTTATAATGCAGTGACAGTGTATGAAGGGCCCATAGAGTTATGAAGCAGTCTGTCCTTGTATCTTGATGTGATCATTTGTGTGAGACTCGTTTGTGTGATCAATGACACTGAGAGAAGTAAGTAGTATTTGGGAAACCTATTTGAAAACAATCATTGTTTTTGCAATATAGTGGAGAAATAACACAATTCCTATTTCAATTCATATTTGATCTTGTGATCAGGGCTGTGTGATGATTGTAGTTCTGAGGGAAGCTAAACTTAGGTGCATATGTTATTATCCTCTGCAATGTGGCTGAATTTAAATAATTATAGAATGATTAACTACAACTTTGACACCAAACACTGCTTTGAGTACTGTACTTATGTTTCATTTTTTCTAAATAGTACAGCATGTGTGTATTTATGTACATCATTCTTTTCACCATCAAGATACTTTACAGTACTAACAAACTCTTTTCATTTTCAGGGTTCACTGTGACATATTCTCAAAACAGACTTGTTCGTCTGGGATCTTCAGTGGTTCTGAACTGTTATAGAGTTAAACCTTTACAAACGGAGGATCTGAAGGTGGAGTGGAGAAGAAAAGACACTAAGACTCTGGTTCATCTGTATCAGGATGGAGAGAGTCAATCAGAGAAACAGCAGCAGGATTATCAGGACAGAGCTCATTTCTTCACTGATCAGATTCAACATGGAAACTTTTCCCTCCGGCTGGACAATCTGAAAATAGAAGATGCTGGAGAATACACATGTAGAGTTTACAGCGAACAGAAATGTGTGTTTTCAACTCAGATTACTTTGGAAAAGGGTAAGTGAATAGATGAATAAAAATGTATGCCGATTTAACCATTATATCAGTGTAAAATGTGTCTCTATAGACTTTACCATGAAGCATGTTCAGTCATAAACTGTCAGAGTTTGTTATGCAAATAAGGCTGTGCAGAGGCCTAAAAAAGGTGTTTCAGCACCGAAAGTACAATTAAAACATTTTCATCACATGAACTATGAACGTGTTCCACTAAAGTTTGACAAATACTAAATGACTCAATACTTATGTCTTGTTTTTCAACACTACATCTATTGTTTAAACATTTCAAACCACACTATTTATTAATATTATTTTTGCTTAAAGGGTGTCTGCGCATGTTTTGTTGACCATAAATGAGACTTGCTTTGATGTTTTGTTTCTACTGTAATGACATCCAGACATTGTTCAGTGTGTCTTCAGTGTCCACATGCTCTTTGTGTCTGCTGTGCATTAGCTGGTGTGACAAAAACAGAAGACATATATTATCAGCACATGCCATTAAAATATCATTGATAATAGCTTAACAACACATAATTTCATATAATTTTAATAATGAAACAATAATAGAACATTTAACCCTGTTACATCTTAAAGCTTTTGTTAATTTTGACTGAAATCTTGTTTTTGTTCTTCTTTCTCCCTAGATATTCCGTTTTTAAGTGGTAAGTAAACCGATAAAACAGAAAAGAACACTGAGCCTAATCAATACATGATTTCCATTAGGTTGATTATTTGTGGTATGAAATTTGAATTATCATAACTAGTCGATGTAATTCCAGTCATGAATATAATTGTGAGATGTTGTAATGCACCACTGATCTGCTCCTACATTACCTGATGAAACTCTTCAGTCTGAAAGTAAAGGATCTCCTCCGAGCTGAAGTCTGAACATGTATTCCTGGATGGGATTGTACATGTTTATTCACCTCTAATATGAGCTTGTCCTGCATCAGAGACGTGTGTCTAAACATGTCTAAAGTTTGCCAAAGACCTTGTGGATGAGTCCGGTTTAAATGAGAAACCTTACATTTGTTCAAAACAAAACACTGAACTGTAAATCACAGCGGTGTCAGTTTAATGGCTTGGTGCTGCTTGTTTAACTGGGTTCTGTATTTAGTAACAGGATGAGGTCTGATTTCAAAGTAGATCTTTTAAGTTTCAATATATATATTAAAAAAAACGTTCAATGACTGGCAGCAATAGCTATTAAACAAAAACTGTTCAATTAAAGTAAAATACCCTAATTTAAGTAAAGTGCAAACACTTTTACATACATTTTCTTTATACGTTTTACAGAAAAAAAGCTGTTATTTTACAGATATTTATTGAATTATTAATATCAAATACCTTTACTGTAAAATGTAAATCTCTTACAGTTAAGCATTAGCTAGCAATAGCACACATGCATGAACTAATGTATACGAGTCAAAGACGAAAAAGGGTTTAAGCATAAAAACAATAAGTGTAATACTGCTTTAAATTGTTGTTGTTTTTCCTAAAAAAAAATTTTATTAAAAAAAAATGTAATTTAATTGCAATTTTGTTTTTGTTTTTCTGAGCAAAAAATACATATCATACATTTTCCCCTGATTTACAGAAGAGAGCCACTAAAATATAATTCAGTGTAACAATCTTGTCAGGCATAATTACAACAAAAATCAATTATGACATATTAAAAGACTAATTACTTTCACCCCAAATACTAATTAGTTGTAATTTTACATTTTTTAAATGTGCCACTATCCTAGGTTTCGCCCATTTGTCAGTAAGACTTTTTTACTCATTTAAAACACAATAAAATGTAATATGCTCCCTTATTCCTTTATATATTTTAATATGTACATGTCAGAATAAGCATGTTATTTGAATTTTTACATACACATTGTGTTACACTGAATGACAATGTAACATTATTTCAACCAAATTTTGACATTTTATTCTCCCAAAACTTATTTGAAACCTTAAAAGTAGACACTTTACTTAGATTTAATGTGCTTTCTATGGACATAAAATCAGTTTTGTACATTTCTTTTGATGCGGACATCTTAACGTCTTTGACCCACATATAGGCATCACTGCATCAGCAACTACACAGTCACCGTCTTGTAAATAAAGCAGCATGCAGCACATTGTCAGTGTTTTCCAGTCCATCCTCATCTGAAGCATCTGCTCTTCAGCACAATGTTAACCCTCAAACCCTTTAAATCCCAACAGAACAGAGCATTAAACAGATTATTCATTGTTTAGAGTCCATCAGTTTAAACGGATATTTTATTTGCTGATTCTGGGTCTCTGTACATCAAAATATCATAACACTTCAGGTTCTCCAGCAGTAGTATTATAGAGAGCATTAGAGCTTTTTCAGTGGCGCTGATTCTGGAAGTATTTTTCCCATTCTTTTTTCCCATAGTAATTCCCCAAAAGATATATGTCTTCATTAAGGTGTTATAAACAATGAACCAAGCCAACTATGAGGTGAATTACAACATACACTTTAATTTGAAGCATAATAATAGTAATAATAATAATAAAATATAAAGGTACAAGACTATGTACTTACTGAGGGAAAGAACTACAATCCCATGAAGCATTGCGAAAGACATAATCGAATAACAATGGAGAAATATAAAACTATTCATTTAAAGTTGTTGATTGTATATAGAAACAATATTTTAAGTTTAATCTGTGGTGCTTCGTGGGAGTGGGCAAAGCTAAAGATCTCTTTTGGACTTGGTGTAATTTTCTGTACAGCATCATTGGTAATGTAGTTTTTAACCATGAATTCAGCTACTGAACACAATTATAAAAAAATATATTTGAATTAATGTGAACAGATGGGTTTAAGAAAAGCATATACAATCAATTAACAATATCAGAGCTCATAACAGGGCTGTCTTTAAAGATTTATCAGTTATTGTTAAAAATCAATTTCTCTATGGAGGCTTTACTTCTGGAACCTGACTGTTGCACTCGACAGAGCTTCAACACACAATAATGTGAAATTCATAACTACTGTAATATAATAAACTAAAAAACTAAACTAGTAAAACTAAAAGTGATTAAGTTCTGGATAGGGTCAGAGTTTAATGCTCTGTTCTGTTGGGATTTAAAGGGTTTGAGGGTTAAAACGTCTTTGACCCACATATAGGCATCACTGCATCAGCAACTACACAGTCACCGTCTTGTAAATAAAGCAGCATGCAGCACATTGTCAGTGTTTTCCAGTCCATCCTCATCTGAAGCATCTGCTCTTCAGCACAATGTTAACCCTCAAACCCTTTAAATCCCAACAGAACAGAGCATTAAACAGATTATTCATTGTTTAGAGTCCATCAGTTTAAACGGATATTTTATTTGCTGATTCTGGGTCTCTGTACATCAAAATATCATAACACTTCAGGTTCTCCAGCAGTAGTATTATAGAGAGCATTAGAGCTTTTTCAGTGGCGCTGATTCTGGAAGTATTTTTCCCATTCTTTTTTCCCATAGTAATTCCCCAAAAGATATATGTCTTCATTAAGGTGTTATAAACAATGAACCAAGCCAACTATGAGGTGAATTACAACATACACTTTAATTTGAAGCATAATAATAGTAATAATAATAATAAAATATAAAGGTACAAGACTATGTACTTACTGAGGGAAAGAACTACAATCCCATGAAGCATTGCGAAAGACATAATCGAATAACAATGGAGAAATATAAAACTATTCATTTAAAGTTGTTGATTGTATATAGAAACAATATTTTAAGTTTAATCTGTGGTGCTTCGTGGGAGTGGGCAAAGCTAAAGATCTCTTTTGGACTTGGTGTAATTTTCTGTACAGCATCATTGGTAATGTAGTTTTTAACCATGAATTCAGCTACTGAACACAATTATAAAAAAATATATTTGAATTAATGTGAACAGATGGGTTTAAGAAAAGCATATACAATCAATTAACAATATCAGAGCTCATAACAGGGCTGTCTTTAAAGATTTATCAGTTATTGTTAAAAATCAATTTCTCTATGGAGGCTTTACTTCTGGAACCTGACTGTTGCACTCGACAGAGCTTCAACACACAATAATGTGAAATTCATAACTACTGTAATATAATAAACTAAAAAACTAAACTAGTAAAACTAAAAGTGATTAAGTTCTGGATAGGGTCAGAGTTTAATGCTCTGTTCTGTTGGGATTTAAAGGGTTTGAGGGTTAACATTGTGCTGAAGAGCAGATGCTTCAGATGAGGATGGACTGGAAACACTGGCAATGTGCTGCATGCTGCTTTATTTACAAGACGGTGACTGTGTAGTTGCTGATGCAGTGATGCCTATATGTACATTAGCTACTGAGAGTGTGCTACAATTCTATAATAATAATTTAATTCACATGATTTACATTTTACAGTGAAGGTATTTGATCATAATAATCCAGGATCTTTGAAATAATTCTTGGAAATAACAGTGTTTCTCTGCAGAAGTTTTAGTGCTGTCACTTTATTGAAGGTGTTTGATAATAATTCAAGAAATCCATGTGGAATTACGGTGATTTTTCCTTCTGTAAAGCATTCAAGGAAAACTACTGTAAAAGTTATTTATTTATTTTTGCGCTTTATAAAAATGCGGGTATTTTACTGTAATTTTACAGTTTTGTTTTGGCAGCCATAACTGCCAGTCATTTGACCATTTTTTATGATTTTTTATAGCGTTCTCAAACCGTCTAGTGCAGAGATGTCATTTTCATTTCACATTTGTTAATAATATGCATTTCAAAACAAAACTAAGCTTCTGACTTCATGCAGTGTTTGACAATCATAAACCAGCAGCGCAAGACCAGTATTAATTAAAAGCAACATTAACCCTTTCATGCACAGAGGTCACTACAGTGGATAGCTATTCAAAAACTATTTTCTTGTGTATGCATGGGTTTTGATGGCATATTTGCACATCAACCATTAGTGTTGGCCCCAGCCTAAGGATTTAAAACTTTTTAATGTGAATAATAGGGTTGTCTGTGGTTCCGGAATTTGCTGTGGGTGTATAGGATGGCCTGGATGAGTGTGAGATTTCCCGGCCTGAAATTGTGTCCCAGTCCTCCCCTGCTCAATACTGCATCCTCAAGTCCAAAATACCATTCACAGTTCTTTTGCTTTAACAGAAGGTCACATCAAGGAGAAAATGTAATTTTTTTTTTTTTTACAGCGAAAGTTTCCTCTGCTCCTCTGGTTGCTCCTCTGGGATCTTCAGTGGTTTTGCCCTGTTTTTGTGCCAAACGTTTGCTTTCAAATGATCTGAAGGTGGAATGGAGAAGAAAAGATACTCTGGTTCATCTGTATCAGGATGGAGAGAGTCGAGCAGAAGTCCAGCAGCAGGAATATCAGGATAGAGCTCATTTCTTTACTGAGGAGATTCAACATGGAAACTTCTCCCTCCAGCTGGACAATCTGAGAGCTGAAGATGAGGGCCAATACACATGTACAGTTTACAATAAATGGAGATCTGTGTTTTCAACTCAAACAAGTTTGGAACCAAGACTACTTGGTAAGTAAACATACAATGATGGCCAAAGGTATTGGCAGTGACATAAATGTTGTGTTTTGCAAAGTTTGCTGCTTCAGCTGTTGTGGTGTTCACTCACATTGGTTCTAGATTAGTGTGTAGAGTGATCAGATGCATTTTAAATAATTGCTGAAAGCTTCATTGGCCAAAAAATGAACTTTAAAAAAAAAAAAAAATTTCACTGTTTTTTTGATCCTGACACAAAATGACCAGCTAACATTAATTGACTAATCATATCAGCAGTCAGTTTAATGGCTTGGTGCTGCTTGTTTAACTGGGTTCTGTATTTAGTAACAGGATGAGGTCTGATTTCAAAGTAGATCTTTTAAGTTTCAATATATATATTAAAAAAAACGTTCAATGACTGGCAGCAATAGCTATTAAACAAAAACTGTTCAATTAAAGTAAAATACCCTAATTTAAGTAAAGTGCAAACACTTTTACATACATTTTCTTTATACGTTTTACAGAAAAAAAGCTGTTATTTTACAGATATTTATTGAATTATTAATATCAAATACCTTTACTGTAAAATGTAAATCTCTTACAGTTAAGCATTAGCTAGCAATAGCACACATGCATGAACTAATGTATACGAGTCAAAGACGAAAAAGGGTTTAAGCATAAAAACAATACTGCTTTAAATTGTTGTTTTTCAAAAAAAAATTAAAAAGTTTTCTGTTTAATGTAATTGTATTTTTGTTTTTGTTTTTCTGAGCAAAAAATAAATATCATACATTTTCCCCTGATTTACAGAAGAGAGCCACTAAAATATAATTCAGTGTAACAATCTTGTCAGGCATAATTACAACAAAAATCAATTATGACATATTAAAAGACTAATTACTTTCACCCCAAATACTAACTAGTTGTAATTTTACATTTTTAAAATGTGCCACTATCCTAGGTTTCGCCCATTTGTCAGTAAGACTTTTTTACTCATTTAAAACACAATAAAATGTAATATGCTCCCTTATTCCTTTATATATTTTAATATGTACATGTCAGAATAAGCATGTTATTTGAATTTTTACATACACATTGTGTTACACTGAATGACAATGTAACATTATTTCAACCAAATTTTGACATTTTATTCTCCCAAAACTTATTTGAAACCTTAAAAGTAGACACTTTACTTAGATTTAATGTGCTTTCTATGGACATAAAATCAGTTTTGTACATTTCTTTTGATGCGGACATCTTAACGTCTTTGACCCACATATAGGCATCACTGCATCAGCAACTACACAGTCACCGTCTTGTAAATAAAGCAGCATGCAGCACATTGTCAGTGTTTTCCAGTCCATCCTCATCTGAAGCATCTGCTCTTCAGCACAATGTTAACCCTCAAACCCTTTAAATCCCAACAGAACAGAGCATTAAACAGATTATTCATTGTTTAGAGTCCATCAGTTTAAACGGATATTTTATTTGCTGATTCTGGGTCTCTGTACATCAAAATATCATAACACTTCAGGTTCTCCAGCAGTAGTATTATAGAGAGCATTAGAGCTTTTTCAGTGGCGCTGATTCTGGAAGTATTTTTCCCATTCTTTTTTCCCATAGTAATTCCCCAAAAGATATATGTCTTCATTAAGGTGTTATAAACAATGAACCAAGCCAACTATGAGGTGAATTACAACATACACTTTAATTTGAAGCATAATAATAGTAATAATAATAATAAAATATAAAGGTACAAGACTATGTACTTACTGAGGGAAAGAACTACAATCCCATGAAGCATTGCGAAAGACATAATCGAATAACAATGGAGAAATATAAAACTATTCATTTAAAGTTGTTGATTGTATATAGAAACAATATTTTAAGTTTAATCTGTGGTGCTTCGTGGGAGTGGGCAAAGCTAAAGATCTCTTTTGGACTTGGTGTAATTTTCTGTACAGCATCATTGGTAATGTAGTTTTTAACCATGAATTCAGCTACTGAACACAATTATAAAAAAATATATTTGAATTAATGTGAACAGATGGGTTTAAGAAAAGCATATACAATCAATTAACAATATCAGAGCTCATAACAGGGCTGTCTTTAAAGATTTATCAGTTATTGTTAAAAATCAATTTCTCTATGGAGGCTTTACTTCTGGAACCTGACTGTTGCACTCGACAGAGCTTCAACACACAATAATGTGAAATTCATAACTACTGTAATATAATAAACTAAAAAACTAAACTAGTAAAACTAAAAGTGATTAAGTTCTGGATAGGGTCAGAGTTTAATGCTCTGTTCTGTTGGGATTTAAAGGGTTTGAGGGTTAACATTGTGCTGAAGAGCAGATGCTTCAGATGAGGATGGACTGGAAACACTGGCAATGTGCTGCATGCTGCTTTATTTACAAGACGGTGACTGTGTAGTTGCTGATGCAGTGATGCCTATATGTACATTAGCTACTGAGAGTGTGCTACAATTCTATAATAATAATTTAATTCACATGATTTACATTTTACAGTTGATCATAATGATCATAATAATCCAGGATCTTTGAAATAATTCTTGGAAATAACAGTGTTTCTCTGCAGAGCTGTCACTTCTGTCACTTTATTGAAGGTGTTTGATAATAATTCAAGAAATCCATGTGGAATTACGGTGATTTTTCCTTCTGTAAAGCATTCAAGGAAAACTACTGTAAAAGTTATTTATTTATTTTTGCGCTTTATAAAAATGCGGGTATTTTACTGTAATTTTACAGTTTTGTTTTGGCAGCCATAACTGCCAGTCATTTGACCATTTTTTATGATTTTTTATAGCGTTCTCAAACCGTCTAGTGCAGAGATGTCATTTTCATTTCACATTTGTTAATAATATGCATTTCAAAACAAAACTAAGCTTCTGACTTCATGCAGTGTTTGACAATCATAAACCAGCAGCGCAAGACCAGTATTAATTAAAAGCAACATTAACCCTTTCATGCACAGAGGTCACTACAGTGGATAGCTATTCAAAAACTATTTTCTTGTGTATGCATGGGTTTTGATGGCATATTTGCACATCAACCATTAGTGTTGGCCCCAGCCTAAGGATTTAAAACTTTTTAATGTGAATAATAGGGTTGTCTGTGGTTCCGGAATTTGCTGTGGGTGTATAGGATGGCCTGGATGAGTGTGAGATTTCCCGGCCTGAAATTGTGTCCCAGTCCTCCCCTGCTCAATACTGCATCCTCAAGTCCAAAATACCATTCACAGTTCTTTTGCTTTAACAGAAGGTCACATCAAGGAGAAAATGTAATTTTTTTTTTTTTTTACAGCGAAAGTTTCCTCTGCTCCTCTGGTTGCTCCTCTGGGATCTTCAGTGGTTTTGCCCTGTTTTTGTGCCAAACGTTTGCTTTCAAATGATCTGAAGGTGGAATGGAGAAGAAAAGATACTCTGGTTCATCTGTATCAGGATGGAGAGAGTCGAGCAGAAGTCCAGCAGCAGGAATATCAGGATAGAGCTCATTTCTTTACTGAGGAGATTCAACATGGAAACTTCTCCCTCCAGCTGGACAATCTGAGAGCTGAAGATGAGGGCCAATACACATGTACAGTTTACAATAAATGGAGATCTGTGTTTTCAACTCAAACAAGTTTGGAACCAAGACTACTTGGTAAGTAAACATACAATGATGGCCAAAGGTATTGGCAGTGACATAAATGTTGTGTTTTGCAAAGTTTGCTGCTTCAGCTGTTGTGGTGTTCACTCACATTGGTTCTAGATTAGTGTGTAGAGTGATCAGATGCATTTTAAATAATTGCTGAAAGCTTCATTGGCCAAAAAATGAACTTTAAAAAAAAAAAAAAATTTCACTGTTTTTTTATTTCTGAAAACTTTATTGGCCAAAAAAAAAAAAAAAAAGTGAAACCTTTATCACAAAACCCCAAATGTCACTGTTTTTGGCTCCAGCACAAAATGACCAGCTAACATTATTATACTAATCATATCATCAGCACACGGGAAAGCGTGAATGAGTGCTAGTCTGATGTGCTAGTTCTGATTGGATTGTAAGAGAAGAGTGATTGCTAAGGAGGGAAGAAGTGCTTCCAATCATTGTGTTTCTGTGTTAGCAATGGTTACCTCCAAAGAAAGATGTGCAGCCATCATCACTTTGCATCAAAACAGCCTCACAATTGCTGCAAAGAATATCACACCTGAAATATCCATTTACTGGATCATCAAGAACTTCAAGGAGAGAGGTTCGGCTGCAGTGAAGAAGTCTTCAGGACATCCCAGAGTGTCCAGCAAGCGCCAGGACCGTCTCCTCCTGTGGAGTCAGCTGTAATCGTGTCTCCAGCAGTGCAGAGCTTGCTCAGGAATGGCAGCAGGTTGGTGTGAGAGCATCT